ACATCCTGAAAAACAGCTCTTTTCTTTTGCTGAAGGCATGAGTTAAATTTTGCGTTAGCTTTGCATTATCGAAGGCTGCTTTTCCTGTATTTCGCCGCATTTTTGGAGCTTGTTGTGAAAGTGCTTTTAAAGGGACTTTCTGTCCATATGCGCGCAAAGCATAAGCTCGATCACGTGTGATACAACCATTGAGACCGCCAACTTTGGCAGAAACAAGATTTTCTTTTCTCATATTAATAATCCCTGGAGAAAAGCAAAACAAAGCATGAAACTTTAACTAAACAACTTATGCCTGCTGCAAAATTATCAAATCAAGCAATTGAATTTAAGAACAAGTAGTACGAGCCAAAACCTCGTTGGTACACACAACACACTATGTATAAAGAAAGATGGGAATGGAAACAAGAAGTTTTATCAATCCTGTTAATAATGAAATCTACAGAGAGCCTACATACAATGAACTGTAATAATCATCTTGAGAACAAAATCCTAGCGATGATATAATTAAATAGTTTTACAACACTCATGAAACGCTTTCAAATGCCTATACCATATTTGCTTTGGTTATCAGGCAACTCATGCATCATACTGATTCAGTATAAGTGAAGAGAAAAAAGAATATATGCCAAAGATTAAAGACAAAGAATCATCAAATTTTGCACACTAGGTTGACCTTGGGAAACTGATTGCAGCGTTCCTTCTTCTGATGAAATGTTTGGTTGAAAAGAATTTCAAGGAATAAACAGACCTATAAACAATATAACCTACAAAGATGTTTTACAAATATATATATATATAACAATGATAATTATAAGCTACAAAGACATATAAAAGCTTGAAAATACTCGAATTTAAGAAGATGGAAATGAATGAGAAGAAGCCAAACCCCAAAATCAGAAAAATGGTTGACAAAAGTTAAGCTTCAAGATTTGCCAAAACAATAACTCATCGCCGTCCGGAGAATTAGGCAGTAACTCAAATTCAAATCTAAATGAGATAAATAAAGGAAATAAAATCATGGGTCTTATTTTTCATTCTTATTCAATATTTCCAAAAATAAAATTTCAATAAACTCAAATCTTGACTCAGAGTGGTCATGCTATACTCTGAGTAAGAGTAAGTGCCACAAATAACAAAAAAAATCCTTCAAAAGAATCCATAGCTTAGTTTCTCTTAGCCTCTCCGAATCGTCGCCGCTTCTTCTCATTAACAAACAAGTTATGACTCCATTTAACATACTGACGATCGAAACGTCAAAATTTCGGAACATTATAAGAAAATCAATGAGCCCTAGTCATTCTGCTGCCAGTAAACTAAATGTATCAAAATTCAAGAACATATACATTCTACGTTAATATATATATAAATATATATATGTGCAAATGGTTATGAATGGGACCTGGTTTTCTCATCCTCAAAGCTCCAAAAAGGCTTCCCCAAAAGAGAGAACAGAGCTTAGAGAGAGAGAGAGAGAGAGTGAGTGAGCTGTGAGCGGGATACTGTGGGTTTCAAAACTTGAGAGAAAATAGTAATGGAGAAATGGTAATTTTAATTCGTTTATCAATTTTTAAATTCACAAACCAATTCTAAGAACAACGTAGTAGGAATTTTAAATCGTTGACTGTTGACCGCGAGAGAACTGAAACAGAAAAAAGGAAAATAAAAAGGTTTGGACAGTTCATTAATTTGGTTTGGATCAATCATCATACTTTTAATTTGTTGTAAATTGCTTGGTCGCGCGTGAGTTCAGGATCGACGAGTGCTTTTACCATTTTACCCCTGACAATTCAAGTGCCTCATCGTTGACTTTTTCAAGCCGGACTCTGACTCAAAGGGTTTATTTGGTAATTTGCCAGCGCAGTTTTAATTTGGTAATCGCGGTGAAAGCTGTGATTCCATTAGTCATTTTTTATTAAAAAATATATATTTATTATTAATATTTTGTAATTTATATTAATATATATTTCTAATTCTAAGTAAACGTAAATATAATATTTAAATAAAGTTATTGGATAACAAATTAAGATTTTGAAAGATTAAGAATTATAAAAATTATTTTCAAAAAAAAATATTTAAATTCACTTGCAAAGTAAAGTAAACAATTCTAAGTATCTCTGCTATCCAAATTTTTCGTTAAGCTTTTCGAATTAAGAAAAAAGAGAACATCATATCAAATAATATAAAAATTATTAGTATATATAAAATTATAGTAATTAAATTAAATTAAATATATAAAATATAATGAATAAAAAATATTACTTATTCTTTTGTTTATTTAAAAAAAAAATCACCTGTACATTTAAGTTTACTTAAATTTTTATTCAAATAATTTATAATATAAAAATAAATATTAATTATTTTAATATTAGAGTGTAAAAATAGATCCCTATTTATCATATCCTTATGGAACTTAGAATAAGACTACAAGATAAGAAAATATAATTAAAAAATTATTAATAATAAACCAATATTTTGTAAGAATTTATAAATTCGTCACGATGCAAAAAATTAAAAAAAAATAATAATTAAATTCACTCCCGGGCCAGAGTGAGTTCAGATTTGCAGTTATAGGATCGGGTTGAATCCAAGAAGCTAAGCCGGAACCGTCCTTGCCATCCATAGGTTCTGGAGTTATTCGCGTACTGCCACGTGGATAGTGATACGAAGGCGAGGGTAATAATGTAATTTCATTGGATATGAGAAGTGGGTCGTTCTTAACCAACCCATTGTCATCGCTGATGTGTCTTGCTCCTCTAGAAAGGAGGGAGAGAGAGAGAGAGAGAGAGAGAGAGAGAGAGAGAGAGAGAGAGAATGGCGACTCTGAGTATTCTATCGCCGTGGCGGGCGACCTCTTCACATTATAGTATTAGCAATTACAGTGGCGATAGGAACAACAATTTTAAAATGCATTCTTTGTCTAATCATCACCGTCTTTCTGCTTTCTCTTCTCTCCTTGCAAGAAACAAAACAAGCTCCTTCTCTAAGCTTCCTCAAATGTCAACCTCTTTCTCAAATTCAGGCGAGTCTCTGTTTCCATTTCTGTTTCTGATTCAATTTTGACATATGTATACTTGCATTTCTTTCATAATTGATATCTGTGTGGCTGTGTAAATTTTTTTGTGTAATTTTTAGTTTGTTTGGGAATTATCATCTGTTTGGTTGCGATAAATTATAAAAATATAAGAAAAACAAAGGTAGCGGAAAACTTGACTAACGGATTCTCTTTTGAGTCGGTTTTCACATGAATTTTGGGACAACTTTGGTTGAATTTTTGCTTTGTATCTTACTCGTGCATTATTGTTGAGTAATCTGTTTACCTTTTATTGGTGCTCTAGTCGGTGGCTGTTTATTACTGGTTCCTTTGATTTGGAATGAAAATAACGAGAGTAGAAATGACACGTTTTGTGATTTTCTGGATATAAAAAATTTGGGAGGCTTTAGTCAATTAAGTCAGATAGTTATCCTTGTCGTGGTTCTGTTAAATGTATACCTATATCTAATCGAGGTATATTGAAGAAAAAAAACATGAAATTAAATAATTCTAAAGTCAGTGAGGAACGGGAATGAGAATGATTGAGGGAGAACGTGATATTACTAAGTCAAACCATCAAGGAAGGTAATGAATCCTTATAATCCTACATCTGAAGGAGATGGAGAGAAAAAAGGCTTGGAGATCATACAGGACCAACTTTTGATGCAACTTGTGGCTTTATAGAACTCTTTCAAGAGTACTACAAGAACGGATTTTAAGTTTTTAAAGCCATGAAGAACTATTCTTTTAGATATCTTCCAAATATTGTGATTTTTGCTCATAAATTTAAACGTTGTTGAAGTGTTTTTGAGTAGTCTCAAACAAATGTTATTGTTCACAGAAACATGTAATTTTCATTTAGAGACATAATTATTGGTCGAAAAATATGGAGCCTCTAGGAATAGTAGACAACATCTAATTTCACAATGCAGCTTGGGTTTCCAATTTAAACGCTATGGATATCTTGTGTCAGTTCAATTCCTGTAATTTAGTGTTTTTTTTATTTCTCATAAGACTGTTAGCTTTTAGGCTATCATCTTTAATTTCTAACTTTTTCCATAATTTTTAATTTTTTGGTCTTGAATGTGCATGTATTTGTATTTGGAAAACTTAGATTCATTTGAAATAGACTGAAAACTTTATGTAAAATACCAAAAGGTCAAATCAGTGAATTGTCATAAAAATAAATCATACAGTCTGAATTACAATAAGACCAAACAACAGGACTGAAATTGAACTTCCACCCTAAACAGACATATGCTCTCTGCCCTCATTTCTTCTATACATCACCCATTGTTTTATTTTATTAATTCGTTATAGCCTGCCACAGAACGTTTTTAGAGAGTGGACAATTACCAAAGAGCAATTCTTAGGAAAATCTTCAGATATGCTGTTGAAAATTTTAGTACGACAGACTTATGATTGTGGGAAAATAGGAAAGTGTTTAACATGCCTTCAATTCAATTGACTTCAGTTTATTAATTTCTTCGATTCCATAAACGAATTTTAACAGGTTCCCTTGAATGAGGTGCGTTAAGTGAAGATTAAGAGAGAAACTTCTCCACCCAAGAGAAAAATTGAAAGAAAAAAAAAAGATAAAACAAAATAACTGCTGAATGCCATTTCATCATAAAATAGATACTATATGTGCTAAGTATGGAGTTCACTTACCCAGAATATGTTACTTATGGCAGTAGGAAATTCTACTTTAAAAGTTCAATAAATATTTGTTCTTCATCTATATATCTGCAATGTTGCTTGTATCTGCATGTATGTAGTTAGAATGTAAGTTCAGAGGTTTGAAAAACTGAGACCTATTGTTGGTGCCCTTCCATGGATTGTTATATAAGTTTTTAATTGCGGTAACCCACACATGCCCATGATGGAGGTTATTATTCCCCTTTGCAGTTTAGTTTGTTATACATTTTGTATTCTCCCTTCCCTGATTACATTCATCTTGTGACTACTCAATCTATCAAATCACCCTTCTGCTCAAAATATGCGTTAGAGCTTCTTTCCTTGCCGGGATGCTTATATCATTTATGTTGCAGCAAAGCAGTCTCATAGCTTGCTTAGCCATGAGATGATGGAGTAGTTACTTCTCAATCTGCAATTTTGGTGGTGTGGTACTGTGTATATGTTTTACCGAATTGTTTATTTCTGGCTTGTAATTGGATATAACACAAGGAAAAAAACATACAATTTGTATGTTGGAGATCCTATAAAATGTGAAGTTTCTGCATTAACTGTTATTATCAAGTTTTCTTTGTTCTGATTGTATGATTTTCTGGTTGGTATGCTAGCTGCATTTAAAGATCTAGTCACCATGTAAATTTTCCTATTGCAGCAAATTTGGATGATAGATGACCTTTTTATTTAAAAATTTTTGGGGTTTCTTTCTGCAGGTGGCGGGTGTCCATGGTTGCAAAACAATTCAATGCCTTATGACACTGCTGCTAGAGATGGACGGAAGCAATTCCCGTTGTACTCAGTTTTTCCTGCAAAAGCAGCAGAAGTTTCCTCTGTACAAGACCTTTTCGAATTTATTTGTGCAGGTCCTCTCATTGAAAAACTGGGCCTCACCCAGGAAAAGATCTCAGAATCTGTTGACAAGTGGTTAGCATATGGGCTGCATCTTTGTAGATTATTTCAGGTCAATGAATTGTACCTCACAGTTCCTCAGAAGGCCAGATTTTACCATTACTATATACCAGTATTCTTATGGTGTGAAGATCAGATTTCTCAGCATAGATCCAAATTTAACGATGGAGAAGATATACCTCCTTTGGTGGTATGTTTGAAGCTCTTTTTGCCAGTAAACAACCTGTATACTTTTCCAGTATATGTTAAAAGCCTTTTGGAGATGTGCATGATCTCATGAATGAAGGATTCCTTGAGACAAGTGTTTCATTCTTTTATCGCCTCAGCAACTGAAAAAATGTTAAGCTATTGGATCCTTGTTTGTTTATTCTCTTTTTTCTTTTTTCTCTAAATGATGCTGACATCTGTTTTAGTAATGCAGATTGGTTTTAGTGCACCACAAGGTTGTGGAAAGACTACACTTGTCTTTGCTCTTGATTACTTGTTCAAAGTCACTGGCAGGTAACTTCTTAAGTTATAATTTAAAAGTAATTTTATTTGCCAGTTGCCTTCTGGTTACATATCAAAAGAGAGGAATAAAGGAAGTGCTAACAGCAATTCAACTTCCAGGAAGTCTGCAACAATATCGATTGATGATTTCTATTTAACAGCTGAAGGCCAGGTGATGCTTTTGGGAAATTATAGGCCATCTTTCTGTTTTCTGTGTGGTTTTCTCATGATTTGACTTTGTAATTTATACAAATTGTAGGCCAAATTGAGAGAAGCAAATCCAGGAAATGCTCTTTTAGAGGTAGATAAGAGGTTGAATTCTTAATATTTATCAACCTGAAAACAGTTTGGTAGTTATTAAAGCTACCAGTGAAATCAAACAGTCTTTATCTTACTATTTTCTTTTTGTTTGTTTTTAGTTCCGTGGAAATGCTGGAAGTCATGATCTTCTATTCTCTGTTGAAACAATGACTTCTCTACTCAACATGACCAAAGAAGGTGATATTCTTGTCAGCTTAAGTTTCTGTCCTTTCCAAACAAGACTAGCATTTTGAATGATTTCGCTGACTTCATGCAGGTACGAAGATGAGGTTACCCCGATATGATAAAGTAAGTGGCTGTACTGTCATTATTGGTTTGAGTTATCAGGGTGGTGGGAAGGGGAAGGAAACAAAAGATATTTAGTTGCTAATGATAAGCTGCTTTTTTCTGCAGTCTGCATACAATGGGAGGGGTGATAGAGCTGATCCTTCAACATGGCCTGAGGTTGAAGGGCCACTAATGGTGAGATCAGCTTCAATACAAAGCTAGCCACCTTTTCAATATAATTTTAGGCTGTCAAAATTTAGGCTGTAATTTTGGATTGAATTTGCCTGATCTTTCTTCCTTAATTTTTCTGTCTTCCTAAACCCTATTCTAGTGTGCTATAACGAGGTAGGTTTTCGAAATACTGACCATTGACACATTTTCAATGTGGTCATTCAGGCTATTTTGTTCGAGGGTTGGATGCTTGGTTTCAAGCCCCTTCCAGTAGAAGTTGTGAAATCTGTTGATCCTCAGGTTCTCTGTCCATTGTTAGGGGGAACAACATTGACATTACTGGTACAGATTCATTATTTCATTGTAGCTCAACTTGATGTTTGATTTTGCAGCTGGTTAAGATAAATGAAAATCTTGAAGCTTATTACGATGCTTGGGACAAGTTCATAAAGGCATGGATTATCATCAAGATTGACGACCCAAGTTATGTATATCAGTGGCGCTTACAGGTTGGGTCTTACATACTTTCTTCTGTATCTGATTGCTATGTAGCTTCATAAGCATTTCTTGTTTTAAAATGGGTTTATTCAACAGGCTGAGATTGCCATGAGGGAGGCAGGCAAACCTGGGATGTCTGATGAAGAGGTAAGCTCGTCCATATACATTTTTCCCCAATCTTCTGTATTACCTTTGAAAATTATGTGGAATGTATACTGAAACGAACAATTTGTTTTGCTATGTATTTTGCAGGTGAAAGATTTTGTTTCACGATACTTACCTGCGTACAAAGCTTACCTCCCAACTCTTTACTCTGAAGGGCCAAGAGGTTCAGATCCATCGAGACTCCTACTAGTCGAGATTGATGAAGAAAGGAATCCCATCCTAGGTAACTAAATCATGGGTCAGGGTTGAGGATTCTTTTGAAGTCCAATTTTGATTATTTGCAGTACAGTATGTAACCGATTGGCACATGTGTCTGTAAATAGCTTCTTCATAGTTTTGAAGTCAGTTTAATTGTGAATTTAATGGGTTAATACATGTTCTTACCGAAGTAATAATTTCATTTTTGTTATCAATCAAAATCTCAAGGGAATGTCAGAAAACCAGATTTACATTAGCCAGGGTTTTTCAGTTTAGTGTAACTATGTAGCCATTTTTTTTGTGATTGGTAGATCAATGATATAGTTGCGAGAAACTGAAAGCATCTTATAACTTAGTTTATGGGTAGTGGTGATTGGTTTGTCAGTTTAAACAGAATATTTTTTGAATTTAACGACTAATTAACTTAGTAGTTTTAAATATTTGAATATGCGAATGTAGAATTATTAAAATCGTAACAAGAAAATCATCCATAATATCTGTTTTTTGGTTGACAAAGGAGCAAAATTACAGTACGAATAATCCCAGAATATGTAAAGATAAAGTCATATTAGCACGTAAATAGGGAGTTCCATGAGGTGTAAAGTAGAGAATCAAAGACATGCTTGTGAAAATGGATTAAAATTTATTAAATTCCAAATTATAATGACAAAACATAAAGATGGCAGTAGATCTAGGCACAGCAGCAGCAGGTAACCTCCACGCAACACTCACACGCCTCATAGCAGCAAAAGCAGCAGCACAGTGTAAACAAACTGCATGCACCCATCAAATTGTGTGTGTAAATATGTGTGTGAGCATAGATTTACGTATACATATATATAAGAGAACTCAAACCAAAAAATAAGTAAAGAAAACAAACAAAAGCAAAATCATATAAAAAAGAAAGAAAGAAAAAAGTGATGATGTAGAAAATATTTCATACAAGGCATAGAGGCAGCCTTTATCCTGATGGCGTCTCTTGACATGATCATAATATGACATCTCTTGTTGTGAAGGAGCCTTCATTTTCTTTCCTTTTCTCTCTTTGGTCTTGTTTGATAGCAGCTTTCTTATATGTACTTGTATATGTGGTTTATATCTGTATATCTACACATTACATTATATACTAACACAAGGGTTTCACAGGGGAGCTTAATGGAAAAGGTTGGATGGGTATTTATTGTGGTAGGTAATGGATATTGGATCGTATAGTAAGCTTCTCCCTCTCTCGTATTCACCAACACAAATTTTATTCACAATTATAATCTCACCAACAACAACAGATTCAGCCATCCCTTATTAAGTGTGCATGATAAATGGTCCCGTCCCGGCAAATAAAATGAATCACAACTAGGTTTTAGGTTTTGTTTGGATTCAGGAGGATGGAAGGTAAAAGCAAATTGATTTTATTTTCTCTTTTACTTGAGTTCTCTCTTTGCTTTATCCCAACTTTCATATAGCTTTTTTTTTTTTTTTTTTCTCTTCAATTCATTTCCCTCCGTCCAAACATGGTGTTTGGATAAATGAAGCGATTTGGACACCTACCCTTTCCCATGGAGTTGTAAAGAAAAACTACAACCACATAAACTGGAGATAAGAAGTTAAACCTGACCATATCTTACCCCCACACCAAATTTACAGTCCCCTAATCTTCCTTAAAAAAAAAAAATTATAATCCCAAATCTAATACTTCAATTTAAAATTATGTTCCTAAACAAAAAAGTTAGTTCTTTTTACATGTTTCTTAGCATATTTCATCTTATTCTCAAATAGTCATTATTTATATTGTTTAAAAGTCAAACAGTCATTATTTGTGTTTATTTCTTAATATTTTTAAATTTTAATCTTATGAATTTATAAATCTTAGATGCTTATAATCTAGAACAAAATAACCCAAATGAAATGGCTCCTAAATTTTTCAAACAATTAATCAAATCAATTATTTCACATAAATTTCTTTATATATATATATATAGTTATATAAAGACTAAAGAGAGATTTGGATAGGAGCCTTGCCGACTGCATGGTTGATCTAAGGTTCTTTTTTTTTTTTTTCTTCACATGTTTGGTAAAGCCTTTGTTCTAGTTTCTTGGCCCCTCACCACGCCTTGCTCTAAAATTTACCAGGTAATTTTGTACCTACATACACGTATACACACACATGTATATATTGTTTCTGTACAATGTCACTTCAATGTCACCGTTCAATTTTGTTCTTTTATATATATATATATATATATATACATGTAATAATAACAATAGCACAAATTTGCAAAGTGACCAGATTTAGCATGAGACAGGAGAGTCACAGGCTGCCGTTGTCGGTCAGGTGATCTTTCTCGTGAGTGGAAAATAAATACAAGGCTCTAGAATTTTTAATCTTTAATTACTACACTAATTATTAATTAATTAAAATCAGTTAAAAATTATAAAACTAATTTCAATAATAAAAGTTTATGAATTTTCTCTTATTTCCATTAATAAATTTCTCAAGTCGAATCCCAGAAATTTGTATATTTGGAAGAAATTAATAATTTTTTGTGAATTTTTATTTCAAAATTTATACGTTATATATTGAAATAATTTTGTTTAATAAGTTAATTTCTTAATAAGATAACTCATTTAAAATTTCTTTATGAAAAATTAAATTTTTTAATCATCTTTTAAGGAAATTTTCTTATATTTAATTAAATTAATATAAATTTAGAACCTATTGCTGGTCTGAGTAGGTAACTTCATGTTCTCTATTCCAAATAATGAAAATTCATACGTCTTACCAGACCCACCAAAATCCAGGTCTCAAATTAGGAAACCATTTACTTTTGTGTGTATATTACACACACACACACACACACACACATATATATATATATATACACACACAAGAGGCTTCAATCAGACTATAAGGAAAGAATGATAGTCCTGAAATTGGGATCAAAATACGTATTATAATAATAATAATAATAATAATACATGGTTATAGGTTTAATTATCTCTCTGTTAATTATTTTATTTAAATTTCTAAATCAAATCAAAACTCTCCACTCACCAAAACAAAATGGTGCATTAAGAGAAAACTGAACCCTATGTACACAGCAATATTAAAATTAACATTGATTATAATCCCTAAATTATCACTATTTGTCGTTGGACCCTTTTCAGCTTGTGCTTGAGCATCTTGGAGGTGTCCCTGGAGCTGCATAAATTGAAAAAAAAAAATTAATATATATACACACACACACACATAGATACATAGATACACACATGCATATTTATACATACACACACACGCATAAAGAAGCAACTCACCTAACCCAGTTGCCTCTTTGCTGTTCATCAACCTCAGCCGCTTGCATGATTCAACAAACATTCTGCTCACAACACAAATCAATTCCCACTTATTAATATTCTTTTTTTTCCCTTTCTTTCTTTCAATCCAAACAAAAAAGAAACGAAAAGAAAAGAAAAAACTTACTTCCATGGCACATCCCCAACAAGCATCCAATCACCATCTTTATCTTCATAAGTAGGAACATATTCCACTCCATTCACTTCATCTATAATCTTCTTTTCACTCACAAAATTACCTGCAGTAACAAAAATCAAATCTTACTCATCAATATTTTAATAACCCAAAATTACTTAAACAAATTCGTATACATATATACACACACTTACGTATGGTTAACCAAGAGAACATATCCTCTAGAGCAGTCAAGAGCTGGTTATAGCTGCTGTACAGCTCAAGATCCACTTTTCTCAGATAAGGAGCTCCATCTACCGCCACCTTCACGTATTTACTACTCTTCTTCATCGCATTCTTCCTGTATGCTCTCACCGGCGGCCATCCTACCACTTGTGTCCTTTTACAAATCAATACATTCATCAATTCATTCATGATCTACCCCACACATACATATACCTATATAGACATATATATATATATATACACATTAACTTACTTGGATGCTGGAGATTTAGCCAAGCTGGAGATATCGTTATCATTTTCTGATTTACAACCAGAGGTCCCGAGGTTTAGATCAACAGTCTCCAGAAACCCACGTTTCGTACCCGATTTTGCTCCCCCATCAGCTTTCCCTCCCGGAAAACCTAAGGTCAACTCAGTTGCCTCGAAAGTCAACTCTTTGTTATGGGATTCCGGCGAAGAACTCCCGTTTTCTGGTGACATTTCTTGCTTCTAGTCTAAAACTTTTTGTGGATTCCGAAAGAGAGTGTTTTCTGCAAAAGTGAGGTCTAAGTGTTCCAAAAACGTTCAGGTTTGTGTTTGACGAATATACACATATATATAGAATATAAAGGAAAAAGAAGGTGGCCGGCAAAATGATGGAACCATACCTAGATCGACACGTGTCATGATAATAGCGGTTGCGATTTAGCCACGTCGAAGGGGAATTCCCGTGTGAGATTTTTGAGTGCGTTCAGATTTGGGCCCCCACTAGGTCGGCCCGACCCAAGTCATTTTCATTCTATTTATAATCACAATAAATAAAAATATATCTTTAATTAATATATTGATTTTTCTTTTTTTTTTGCATCTTTCAAGATCTTTTCTTCTAGATGGATGAAGTCTTTTTTTACTCTCTGTTTTTTTGTAATTTATTAAATTATTTTATGGGAATTTCGCTATATCTATTTTTTATTTAAATATCCAATATAATAAAATTAAATTGCCGTTAATCATAAATAATCATTAATTAAAAATATAAAATTTATTAATTAGAAAAAGCACGGGCCCCTGTGTTTCCAGTTTAAAAAAAAATTAAAATAAAAAACAAGGACAACGTGGGTCCCATGATTACCATGTGACAAATGTCTCTTTGTCGGAAAGCTTTTCCCTTCAATTATTTTATTTAATATTTGAAGTAATTTAAACTAATGGTGGTGATTAATTACTAATTCTTTTAAAAAAAAAAAAAAAAACTTTTATATTTTAAATTCATATATTTTTATACATAAAAATATGCGATTTACATAAATATATGTGATTTTAGAGTTATTTATAATATTTAAGAGTAAATAAAATAATTTTCTAAATGTCATAATTGTTTTTATAACTTCAAAGCATATATGGGTTATCAGTTTATATACATTTAACTATCATACATATTTGTATACATAAATATAAAAATAAAAACTATAAAAAAAATTTAAATATAAATATAAAAAAGTATATCCTAATATTTACTATAATTATCATCGATTTAGAAAAATTTAATCGACATCATTAGATGAAGAAATTTTATCCCGCGTGATCAATTAGATCTTAATTTAAATCAATATTATATTATATTATATATATATATAGAAAACATTTGTATACACTTCAATTCCAAATATTATGTTTAATATGGGGACCCAATTAAGTAGACTTTGTCTTTGTGTATTATGGAGAATCATAGAGTTCGATATAGAAAGGAGAAAGATCAAACAAAGGAATCAAGTACTTGAAGAATGGGATTTAGTTGCTTTTCAACATTATCAACTAATTTATCATTGTGTGCCTCACCTTCCAACAAAATAAGAGAAGAGATCATCATTATACTTGGATCATCTATACATATATATATATATTATGACAATACATATCAAGTCTAATTTTAATTAAGAAGGAAAAAAAAAAGAGAATCTAAACCTTGGCAATTGAAATATAAATTTTTATATTTTCTTTCAAAATAATACATAACTCAAATTCAATTTCTTATTTTTTAAAAAAAAAAAATCAAAGTACCAACTATATATATGATATATACAATTGAAACAATATTTATACATGGTCTAACATAATTAAAAAAAAAAAAAGGCAGTGGCAATGATGAAATGAGCTTTGAGAGGCAATTTAGCTTAGAAATTAGTAAATAAAACACATAAAGAAACTTTAGGATGTAGATGTCTCACACCCTATAAATACAATCACTTAATTTCTTGGTTTGATGAGACAAATTAATTTCTAATTTGTTGGAATCATTCCAAATTTTATTAATAGAAAAAAAAAAATACCCATATCTTTTTATACATCAATTATAGTTTCTAGAAAATACCCATGTTTATATATATATATATATATATATATATATAGGACTGTTTATACTTTAGGAAGAATTAAAATTAAAACCAAATTGCACACCACTGATTGGATGTAAATGCAATTAATTAATCATAGACTCGTGTATATATATATATATATATATATATGTAAATTAAGCAATTAAGTGGACTTAATGGCAGAGAATTTTTGATTCCCAAATAATGGTTTATTATTAATATTTTTAAATTCAATTGCAATGAGCAAGAAGCTATCTATCAGATCAGGCTTACATCGGAAATGGAGAAAGATAAGATTATGTTTGTAACAAATCCACACCCACTAAAACAAATCATAAAGTAATTTAAAAATAAATACCAACTTCATTATGTCGGGATCAAATAATAAAATGTTAGTTTAGTTAGTTGAAGATTAGATATTTTTAGTTATATTCCAACCGAGACATATTAGATTCTGCTCCTGACTCCTCATCTTAATTAATTAATTACTTAATTAATTAAATTTGTCATGATTAAGAATCTGAGAACGTGGGCTTTGCTTTCTTATCCTGATTATCATTTTTCAGTTTGACCCGCCATTTTTTTATTATTATTTTTATTTTTGGACGACTAAAAATGTATATAGACAAAGTGAGTAATTTTAAAATAAATTATTGTATTTTATAAAAATTAAAATATAATAATAAAAACGCATTCGATCATCTTAAATGTGTTTTAACATCTCATTTCATTTATAAAAGAAACACAAAATTCTCATTTTAATGAGCCTTACATCAACTAAAATTTCAAAATTCTTATGTATAATAATTAGATAGCGAGAACAAGTGAGTCGAAAAATTTAAATTTTTTTTAATGAACCTCTCAATCGCGTTATGACTGTATCACCTCAAAATAATATATAATTCTAATTTTTTATTTTTTATTTTTCTTAATGAATTAAATTCAATAAAAATGACTTTCTTATCAAATATTCTTACATGAATTTTTTTTTTATTTTTTATTTTGTATTTTGCCGAATATGCGTTCGTAATTTTAAAGAGATTAAATCTAAGATCAGAGACTCATGGAGATTTACAGATATGTAGATGGAGACAAATTTAAAAGTTAAAAATGGAGTTTGATTCCAACATTGCATGGGACTCATCAATGAAGAGGAAGAAAATTTTCGTTTGGAGACTTTGTGGTTAAATGAAAAGGATTATCATGGGATTTTGGAATCATCTTGGGAAAAGATGCAAGCTCTCTCTTATAATAAAGTGGAAAGGAAAATAAAGGCTTGTCCAAAGGCACTATCTCTATGGCATAAAGAGCTGATTGGCAATGTACAACATAAGATTGTGAATGCCATATGCTTTTCCAATGAGTTACATCGAAAGTTGGAGGTGGAGTATTTAGGTGAAAGTGTACAACAGAAGAACCAATGTGGGCTCAGTGGTCCAAAGTAGATTGGCTTTAGTGTGGGGATAAAAACATAAAATTCCTTCATGCTAAAGCTTCAGAAAGACCATCTTTAAAATAGAATCTTCTGTATAAAAAGTGACAATAGAGGGAGTTGGGTTTACTGAAGCCAGACAAATTGAAGATATCTTCTATGAGTATTTCTCAGAAATCTTAGAATCTTGCTAAGGTGGTTCATTCATCTCAACCTCCTGCTTTCACTCTAGAGAAGCTTATTTATAACAAATAATGCTCTCATTGCTATGTATTATCAGAAAACTAACCAGGGATGTACCCTTTGCTCTAGAATTGGATAAAGACAGACATATGATAGAGTGGCTTGGCTGTTCCTATAAAACATGCTCTTAAAACTTGGGTTTTGATGATGGAATGCACAACACCTATTTCATATTCTTTGCTGATAAATAGAAAATCAACCTCTGTTATTCATCATGTAAGGAGTATTTGCCATGGTGACCTTTTATCCCTTAATCTTAACTGAAGTTTCTTCTCTCACAAAAAAAAGAGTAATAGCAATGATTTTTTAACATTGATAATAAAACGAATAAAAATACAAAACAAAAGTAGCATACTAATATAAACGCAAATAAAATTTTAAATCAAATAAAGCCGGTGCATTTTTTGGAAGTAGAGGTATCTACCAGCTTGTATAGTCAGTTCTATACACCAAGAAAGATGGAGTTCCAATATAACTGGATGCTAATGCTTTTCCAGCTAAGCTTGGCTGGGAGAATGCCAACTCCGATTTCTCCAGAACAAACCCTTTCCAGAAACTTCTCCTGCACAAGTGAGTTTAAGAAACTAATCAAGCACAAATCATATCTAACAAGTTCACATTGAAATCCAGCCAACAGTTTCCTAATCATGACATCGATTCTAGGCTCAAAAAGATTATTGAAGGGTTCGCTTTCTAGCTGGGTTAACGATTTTGGCCTAGTGGTCAGGATTCCATCCATCTGTTATGGGAGAACTACGGTTCAAAATAATGCAGGCTAGTCCGCTAATGATAAACAAATTTCATGTAACAAAAAAAGAAAAGACTGCATAACCAAAGTGCTGGTGAGGCATCCTCCATATGTGAAGTTTGTATGAAAAATTTGAGCCATGACTAAACTCCCTAACGATCAACCAAAAAAAAGGCAGTCATTTATGCATATAAATCAGCTAGATTTATAAAATAAATGCATAACAGTCGCAACGACATCATAAATATCTTACGAGAATTAGGGTGAAAGGATCATATCATTAAATTAAGGTGACAGATTTACCTCAAGGCATCCAGCAAGCAAGAGGCAACACCTTTTCTTCTGTTAGAGGGTGTGACCCAAATGGCTCTAACACCACAAACAGCAGGTGTAGCTTCCCTCTCACACAAAATTACTCCACTGTTATCCCCATTGGACATTTCAGGTTGGTGAGCAGAACTAGCTCTTTTCATGACTTCCCTCTTCAAAATAATTTCCCCAAATTGGAGGGTGGCTGACTTCAATCTTTTTTTGTTGATGTTATCACCTGGACATTTTTCATCATCCGAACAAGAAATGACTTTGAACGCCTCCTTTATTGATTCTGAAACTAAACAGCCAACAACTCTTTGGGAGGAAATATACAGATAAACCTGCAAATGTATTAGGGATTAAACAAAACAGAGTCTGCTAGTAAGTACAGAAATACAGCCAGAGAAATTAAACACGTAACACAGATATTAATCCGATAACTAGAAGATAAAAGAAGAAGAGAAACAACATTGAAGAAAACAAACCACAAAGAGATTTGAATGGTAGTAGAGAAGTGATGGTTTTAGAAAGAAAGGAAAAAAGACAAATTGCTTCAATATGCTATGATGATCACTCTGCACCACTACTGGAATATGCAAAAAAATCCAGCTGTTCGTGGTAATTTATAATCTATTAATATTTAAAAGTTACCTTACAAAGCTTATGAAGAATCCATCCCTCACCAAGCTCTATCTCCATCATTTTCACAACCTCTTTAACCTGCCAATATAATTTTTTCCAGTAACCATACATTTATTGCTAGACCAAAACCATCTTTGTATGATAACAAACAAGAGAAACAAAAAACTTAAGACTTAATGATCATGAAAATAAAACTTCACAATTTAAACCTTGTTTCTCTGTGCAGGAGAGTCACAATCTAACACCAAAACAACTCGTCCACCTATGGTGCTAGGGACAGAAACTACTCTTTCCCTGCGCCAACCCTGTAAAAATTGAGTCAAGAAAAAATGGCCAACCTAGGACCATGTTGAACAAAATAACCACAGTTTGCAAAAAATAGACCTTGAACTGAATTCCCCTAGTGTAGTCTTGGTGAAATGCATTGTGGTTCTTCTCATCCTCCTCTTCTCCAGGAGCATACTTGACTCCACATGTAGAGCACGTACGGAGAAGAAAATCAGATTGTCCCAACTCTAGATGGACCTGAGCATAGCTTCGCTTCTTGTTCAGTACTTTGCTAGCTCTTGCTGATTCCAGCCTCGAGAATAAATCTTGGGTTATGAGTTTATCATGAACTGATTCCTTATTTGCTTCACTTCTTTTGTCCACAAGCCAAATCCAAAAATGCAGAAACATAAGTAATCTCCTAATTGTCGATGAATCAGAAATTTCTACTTTCCTCTACTCTTTTCCGCCAACCAACAAGAAAAACCAAATCCCAACCAATTGGCTACCAACATGAGACTCAGAGATAGAAAGTTATGAAAAAGTAAATTAAGAAACTTAATACCCGTCATTTATTGAAGTTCTACGCCTGTAGGTATTGACAAATTTATGCTCACTCTTCTCCCAGATCACGAGTTCATCAACTCCTTCCTCAAGAATTGGAGGTTGATTTGATGGCTTTGGTACAGTCTGGGAAGGTGAACTTTTGAAGAAAGAACTGATTTTGGATTGCATGAATGACAATATGTTCTATTCAAACAAAAAGGGAGAAACAAATCCAAAAAAAGTTAAGTTACATATTAAAAGAAAAAAATAAAACTCCTACCTGAAATTAAGTTCATATGATTACAAACATATTGTAATATTTATAAATAATTTATAAAACACAAAATAATATTGGAATAGTTATGTGGAAAAACAAACCAAGAAAAGAAACGGTATACAGAAAAAGAAAAATGTCTCAACCAAGCGCAAAACCATCCATCCACACATACCAAAAGTTTTTTCAAGGCTAAAGAAGAGCCATGTTCCTCTCAAGGGTTTAAACATCTCCTAAAAAGTGATTGCATAGCCCATGACAAATTTGTGCATCCCCATTATAAAATAATATGCAAAGGGAAGTATCTAACATACATTTTTCTCCTATATTAATCATTCAAGAGGAAATATAGTGGACCATAAAAAGAAATGGACAGAAACCAAAGGAGCATCATGCTTGAGAAAGAATAAGATTAGAAACATGCAATGGACAGCAAGACAAACTATAAACATAGCCTTAAAATCCTTTATTCTAACAATTTAAAACATTTCTCATAATTCTAAACGAGAATAATCCTAATATGAAACTAGTGCAAGTAGTTATAAGCAAATGACAGTAGAGAGAAAGAGGAAGTACAGAAACAAAAAATTCAGCCTATCCTATTCATGAAAAGAGAACAAAAAAAAAAGACAAAATGATTTATTAGCAAGGAATAAAATTCAAACTTAAAATTTAGTTGCACACCAACAGACTGCTCTAAAAAATGAAGAAAAGAATGGAAATTAACAGCAAAGCCAAAGCATTAAGCCACTGATGCAATCAAAATGACAGCAAGGTACTCCAAAAATATGAAAAATATCATCCTTCAAACAAATTTGGATAATTGGAGCCGCAACCGACTTTATTGAAGGCGGACTCAGATGCAACAAGTGACACTGGTCAAATTAGAGTTCCAAACCTGTGAATGAATTGGACAGGAAGGTGTGAGGCACCCATCGGTGTGCACTAAATTATTTATAATCCTTGTCTGCGTGCAAAGTGTTTATGTCCTCATTTATGTGCACATGCACACGTGATATCCATATGCACATAAACTAAATGTTGGTTTGGGAAAATCAAATACACCCAAAAATGAAAATAAAGCTAAAAACAATGGAAGAAAAGGGATATAACTTAAACGAAATAATGAATCTCTGAATTCCTTTCTCCCTTTATGTAGGTGTATTCATCAGTCAAAAACCAGACTCAACTAGACTGGACCTAGCATCAAAGTAGCAGAAACATGTAGACCGAGGTCCAGACGAGTCAAATTTCAGTTTGAAGTGGTCCAGTTTTCGAGAACAGACCAAGATGTCAACACCCGTGCTTTTAGGTGTCTTTCCTTTCTACACGGTGTTATTCCTTCAATATTTGCCTCATATTTTTCAAGAGCCATTTCCTCCAAAGAAAAAGACACGAGTGACAAACACCAGAAATCAATTCAACAATAAATTCAAATGAATGCTATTAATAATAATAACAAAACAAAATAACAGAAGAAAGTGAACTGATACAAGTCATATCCCAAATCGTTAGTATATTAATAAAGCTACAAAGCAAGGACGTTGGAGTTATGGAATAGGAATCTTTACAAGGCAAAATCTGAGGGAACTCGTAAGCCATCTAAACTACCCATTCAAACTACAGCAAAGTGAAAATATAAACAAAAGAAAGGAAACAAAACCGTTACCAAACAGCATTGATTCAGTTACTCACCAAAAATAATTATAGGAAAGGTTAAAATGACACTCGGTTAAACAAACACGAAGATCTAATCTGAACCTTTAACATGGACTTAATTCATCAGCAATCAGTACAAGTAATGTTATAATAACAATCAACTCAGTAAATTTATTCCCAAGAGTTTTGTCAAAGCCTTTCATTTCTCAATGTCCAGAAACTGAAAAAAAAATAGAGGAAAACAAACTGGACAATGATACTGTCACAACATGGGTGACAAGGTGCTAAAAACATACTGCTTAGATATAATTTTAACTTAAAAAATTGTTTGGGTCGCTACTGATCCTATTGGAAGGAAGTGGGATCTGGAATGTAAAAAATAAATGGGTCTAATTTTAGAGATTCCCGATTCCGACTATGATATGGGGTGGGAAGGTGTGAGGCACCTAATCCACAATATAAGCCAATAATTGACTTAATTTGTATGCAAAATTAAGATTCTATTTATGTGTAGGTGTGTGGTAGTAACATCATTCAAGAAGAAAAATTAGTAATTACAGGCCATATTTGGGGAAGAGGATTAAAATACACCAAAGGACATAAAAATGAAAATTAAACATAAAAAAAAAAAAATTAACAACATTATATAGTCTTCTCTTTTCAGGCTCCACGCACACTCTTTTCTCCAAGCTCTTCACCATTTCTCCATTAATAATAGAACAAATGCAATACCAAGGAAATAATAGTGCAAGAACATTCAGGAGGAGCAAAATCACTTTTTTTTAAAAAAAATTACTTGAATTTTTTTTATCCTTTTATTACTTGTTATTTTTTAATACCTTTTTGTTAAAAGGAACTAAGCCTCCTAAACCAAGATACAAGGTAATATTCAAACGAAGTCTTAAATTAGCATATCCAAATTCTATTAGTCTAAGTGTCTTGATCCAGATGCAAAGAGCTAATGCCTTATCCTACTTTATTTAGTCCACAATCATTATTCTCTATACCCATGAAGAAAAGCAGTAAGTTTAATTTAATGCATTAGTTCATATGCAACCAACACTAGTGACCATTATAACCTTTTATTCTGTAAATGAGAAAAAAGTTATCAATATCACCTCTATGCAACTAAACAGAAAATTGATAATGCTTCTAACCCATATGACCCATGAATAACAACCCGAAACAAAATAGTAAACTTTGATCTTTTTTTTTTCTGAAGCTGCAAAATGCCAACGGTTCTCATTAATACTTGTAAACAACAGTGCAATAGCTTCAGCTGTAAAATCCAAAGCTCATTTGGACATTTCAACAAACACCTTTCAAGCGTACAAGTAAACCTTAGTAAATGGTTTGAACACACTCACTAATTACACCAAATAAACCATACTACCATTCAAAAATCAAAACATGGAACTACCGTTGGAGAGGAATGTACCTGTCTCGATATAGACCTTAAAGAAAACAAAGGGCTTGTCACCGGCGATGGACGCGAAAGGGAGGATTTTCAGTTCTTCCTCCACCCTCTCTCTGTTCCTCTCCCAGTCGCGTTCCCCTTCTGTTTCAGTATTCAAAAGCTTAGCTCCTCCCTCTCGGCCAGCCTCTCGCTTCCCCCTTGTTCACTCCTTTTTCAGTCGCTCTCCGGCAAACCCACCAACCTCCCCTCTCAATCGCGCTCCCTCGATTTTTCCCACCTTTTCGTTTTTATAATTTTCTTCTCTTTCATTTTCTTTTTATTTTTTATTTTTCTCTTTTTTTTTATTTAATTTTCTATTTCCTCTTTTTTTTTTAATTGTATTTTCTCTCTTTTTTTTTTTAAATCACCTTCATTTTTTTAATTCACATAATAATAATAATAATAAATTTAAATTTTAAGAAAACTTAAAAAATTAAAATTTAGTACAGACAAAATTAAAATATTACATATATTTATAAAATATAAAATGAGGATTGTATCATTTAATTTTGAAGCTTCTACTAAATTTTGAAAGGCCAGGAAGATATTGGACAATTGAAGCTGCTTCGCAGTGAGATATCTAAATTTAACCCACCAATATAATATTATTACAAGAATATCAATAAATTTACTCATTTTTAAAATTCTAATCATTCATTTCTAGCCACAAACTATGCACTATCATATTTAATAAAAATTAATTTACCTTTATCCTCCAACCGATTCCATAGCTACTACGTACCAAACAAATTCATAATGGAATTGGGTACAACTTACTTTATATATCACCGACCTAAACACCTTTCACACCCGTGAAAAACTATAAAAACATATGATTCACTAAATTTACCAATTCCTCACAAAAGAAAACTATATATAACGATTAGAGATATTAAATCGAATATTATACTTATGTAAGTAATCTAAAACTTATATTTTAATAATTGTCAAATAAAAATGTTGATCTTATGAAAAATTAAAAACTTTCAAACCATCGAATTTAAATTAAAACTACTACTAACAAAATTTTTGACATTCATTCATTAAATTTTGACTATAATCTTCTTTCAGGTTTGGAACCCTGACGCAGAAGAATTCTGAAAAATAGTATTACAGTGAACTTCAGACTGAAGACGAATCCAAGAAGCTCAATAGGCTAGTTTCAAGTTCGATCAGACATGAAATCAGG